TGGATCCGATACCCAATTCCCAACATCAAAGATCTTTTAGATAGGTTACAATCTGCTGTAATCTTTTCTAAATTTGATCTTAAATCTGGATATTACCAGGTACAGATTGCAGAAGAAGACAGGTACAAAACAGCCTTTTGCGTACCTTTCGGACAGTATGAATGGACAGTGATGCCATTTGGATTAAAAAATGCCCCTTCAGAATTTCAACATATTTTGAATGACATATTTAATCATTTTACTAAATTTTCTATTGTTTATATTGATGATATTCTAATATTTTCAAAATCAATTGATCAGCATTATAAACACTTGAAAATATTCAAAGATGTCATTTACCGAAGTGGTTTAGTAGTTTCTGCTCCTAAACTAAAACTGTTTTTAACTAAGGTCCGATTTCTTGGTCATGAAATTTGTGATGGGAAAATTAGACCTATTAATCGTAGTATTGAGTTTGCTTCTAAATTTCCAGATGAAATAAAGGATAAAACTCAACTTCAAAGATTTCTGGGTAGCTTGAATTATATTCGCAATCACTACAGAGATCTTGCACAGGACACAGCAATTTTGTATACCAGGTTAAGGAAATCTCCTTCCCCATGGACTTTGGAACACACCAAGGCAGTCCAGAAGATTAAACTCAGAGCCAAACAAATTCCTTACTTAGCTCTAGCTAATTCTTCATGGTTCAAAATTGTGGAAACAGATGCCTCCAATATCGGATACGGTGGTATTCTTAAACAGAAAAATCCGAACACAGGAACAGAGGAGCTTGTTCGCTTCACTTCCGGAACTTGGAAAAATGCACAATTAAATTATTCAACCATAAAAAAGGAAATTCTTTCTTTGGTTAAATGCATTTATAAATTCCAAGATGATTTAATCAATCAGAAATTCTTGTTACGCATTGATTGTAGTGCTGCTAAACAAGTACTGGAAAAAGATGTAAAGAATTTAGTTTCCAAACAGATATTTGCTGGTTGGCAAGCTGATTTATCTGCTTTTGATTTTTCTATTGAATATATTAAAGGCAGTTCTAATTCTTTACCTGATTTTCTAACTCGTGAATTTTTGCAGGGTTCATGAATCGGCCCCCCCATGGGCAGGGCCGGGGTAATACTCCAAAGGCTCGCAGCAAAAACAAGGCTAAGGCCAAAGTGGTTATACCACTCACTGATGATCAGTTTCCATATTTGGAGCATGTTGCTGATCTGCTCAAAACTCCTTCTAAAGGAAACAGCAGCTCCCAGCAAAAACAACAGAAACCAACCATGAAAGAGGTTCTTGAACAAGAAACTCCATGGATACCTAATCAAAGGTATATTCAAACAGTATTAGTACTGGATTCCCAAGATGAGCAATGGATGCCAGATCCTTGGGAAGTAAAATCCAGATATTTCCAAACTCAACAATATGCTGCACCGGATGGTCGCCATAGATATATCTATGAAGCCATACTTACTGAAACTTCCTCTGTGGAGATCAACCACACGAAGCAATTTCCGAATTCCAAAGATAGTCCTCTTACTTATAGTAAAACTATCTTTAAGAGGCTTATACGGCCTAGTGACTGGGGATTAAATCCCAATTTGCCAAGAAAATTATCCTATGGTCACAGTTACAATTATTGGGATTATATCTCAGCTTGGACATATTCGTTCTTTTATCAAAATCCGAAGCATAAGCATTCTTGGTTCCTCAAGATATGCCCCCAATCAGTTAAGGCTGATTTCCCAAACTGGGTTATACCCTGGTGGGCTATATTTGGCCCTGATCTGGATATGTTGCCCGAATCAATCAGTCAATTATACTTGCCATGGCAACAATTTCATCCTCAATTACGGGGACAGGATAATATTGCTGTAGGGAAATCCACCCTATTGTTCTTTACTGAATTTGGAATCCCTTGGATTTGGAAATGGGATTTCCAATGTGGTTATACCACTGACAAGTTACCGGTCCTCCAGAGGATCTTTTATTACAGATGGTGGTCAGGCATGACTCAAGAACCTATCCAAGCCCTCCTCCATCAGATCAGAAAGAAAACAATGGAATACATGGATAAGATTCCAAAGTTAACTATTCCAGAACCCGAAATCTTTAACCCATTTGAACTTGTTAAAGATATGATCAGAAAACAACAACCATTAATTACCGAAGCTGATTTAATGGTTAAATGCATGGATTTTATGAGGACCAAATTTGTTAAATCTTTTGAGTCCTCCACCCCTACAGTACGAGATGATACATCCATGGTATCAGTCTCTAGCCAGACCAGTCAAGACGGAAATCAGTTTTCCTGTCTAGCAGGTTATGCACAGGATCCCAATGAAGATCTTAATTCTGAAGATGAGCCTACAGTAGCAGACTATTGGGACTCTCTCACCAGTCACTTGAGGGACAAGATGAATCCACCCAAAAAGTAAAGATTCCTCTTATCCTACCGACAGAAGCAGCCAAAAGAACTTTACCCAAAAGTCTTTGGTTCTACAGTATGTCCTTCATCAGATGACTACTTTCCATCAGATAAGGAGACAGCACTTAGTTCCTGAATAACACAGTCTAAGCTATGATTAGCAATTGGCTGTGCTGGAACGGCATTAGAAATCGTCCAGTGTTCAGGAAATGTTATCTCACTCCAAGGAATCATCCTTTTGGTGGCAACATTTGATGTGTACATGTTGGTGTCCCATAACGCTGTTACTCCTTTAGAGTCTTTGCGTATAGCATTGGGACACATAGTATTAAGTACTTTGTAATGGATGCGATAAATAACACTTATCACTTCCGATCCAGGTAAGCAATCATACCCATAAGTCTGAACCCTAAGACTAACTGCCTCATGGATATTTTTATCTGTTAAAGATAAATTCAGACTAGGATAGACATTAAAATAAACCGGTCCATGACATAGACTGGTTTCTAGTGCACCCATCAAGGAAGGGTGAAATTTCAGACATCGAGCATCCCTAAGGGTTGCTTGAATACAAGCATCCATACCTAACAAGGTTAAAGGTTTAAAAGCAATTTGAATTAAACCTATATGGATGTACTTATATTTATGCATGTGCCTCTGAAGGTCACGGGAAGACAATAACTTAATTATTGTATCCTTAGTGCTTAATTGCATGGTCTGTTCCATGGTCTTGATAGTCCATAGATCAGCTAAATTAAGCATTCCGATTTTGTAAATGCTTTTTGCACTTACTGGAGGGATAGTCCATCTGTTCAATTTATTTTGAACATTGGTCCATTCCACTACTTCAGTATTTTTTACCAATTCTGAATCCTGGTTGTCCTGCATTCCTGAAGAGGAGGACGAAGATGGTTGTAACATGTCTGTTAATTATTGTTAATGCTTTAAGGTCTGAATAGTATAAATATTATAATATTATATAGTGAACAGTAAGTTACTATTCTGTCGTCCTTTTGCTTAAGAGAGATTCTATTACTCGTCTGTCAACGATTTACTGGAAACAATACCCTGTGCAGCAATCTAATGCAAAAACGGGTTGAACATTCCAACGCGACTTTTGGACGACCCATAATTAAATCTGGGATAAGCATAATTTAGACAGACTCCCTTATCTTATCCTAAGCCTAGGAAAAGAAATAAGGTTGAAAAACCTTATAAAAGGAAGTATTCCAAACGAAAGAATTATTCAAAGGAAAAGGATAATTCTAGACAGTATACTAAACCTAAAAGGAAATATACTCCTAAAGCAAAGGGTAAAGGAAAGCCCAAAGCTGAGGCTAAATGTTTCAAATGTGGACGTATTGGCCACTATGCAAACAAATGCAGAACTAAGGAAAAACTCAGTAGTCTTCACATAGAAGAGGAACTGAGACTTCAATTAAGTAAATTGTTACTTAATACTAGTTCTTCTGAACCAGAATCATCAAGTGATTACGGAGATGTTGTCATGGAATTACAGTCTTCTTCTTCCTCTGAAGCAGAGATTGAAAACCCTAGATATTCCTGTAATCCCTCTCATGATGATTATTATAAGGCAATTGTTGAGATGAATGGGTTAAGCTTAAATGTTTTGACTTCGACTCAACAATCCTTATTGGATCTTATAGATCATATCCAGAATCCTCAAATCAAGATGAAAGTCTTTGAAATAGGTTCTGCCCTGGCAAGATCTAACGAGGATACAGATAATTCAGATTTTCTGAGAGCAGAAAATCATTACAGCATGAAAGAAGTTCTACGCAGATTAGAACACCAAGGACAAAATTCACGTCCTGCTAATCTCCCTGATCTTAGAATGGAGATTAATCTTTTAAAAGAAGAAATTCGTCAATTAAAGTCTCGTCAGACTAAGATTGTTTGAATTTTAAGTTTTCAGTCTTTAATGTTTATCTAAATTAAAATTTAACTTTTTTTAGATGATATTTAAATTGAGATAGCAAATATATTTAATTAAATAATTTATTAACTTATTCAAAATTGAGTTTAAAATTAAATTATAACAATATCCAAGTCTATCACAGTGTTACGTTATCATTGAAAAATGTTCAATGATATTTTTCAATGATGCAGGAATAGAAAAATTATTAAATGGTCCTCGACCTTACTTGGTGGTGTAGTTTAATCTTAATATCATATTAAAATAATCATACATATACTTCTCTTGTTAAAAGAGTTTTGATTAAATTGAACCACATTATACATAACCATGTACTAATTTGAGAAATTTTTATATAGTTCGGGATTATAAAGTTTTCTGATAAATTTTTACATGGTTTAGGATTCCATGGTCAGACTAATTACGCAAGTAAATATCTAAATAAAGTTGAAACATTTATTTACATGTCGAGTTGTGATTGAGCGGGACTATGAATAATTTTTCAAGGTAACGGGCTCGTGGTGAGGTGTGATGTCTTTTCGGACTATGGATGATTGGGCCACAATTGGAATTGGGCTTTGTGCACTCAGATATGGGCTTCAGTCATCTATTGGCCGTGTTCGATCCATGGCCCATTCTAATTCAACGCAAAACCCTATTATAAATTGCGAATGCCAATCACATACTCACGCAACCCTAGCGGCCAACTTCACACCTCAACTCCGTCCTCTCGCCTTCATCAACAATGGTATCATCTCTCTCTATCTATCTACGCTCACAAATATATATAAACTGTATAACCATCTTTTTTTGAATCCTTCTTCTAATATCATTGTTTGGATGCTGAAATAAAAAGAAAATGGTAGTGAAGATTTTATGTCCGCACACTCGCTAAATAATGTTTTTGGGTATTTTTCTCTTTTTTCACATCTGTTCGTTCTTAGATCTGATAGTTGTTGTTCGATCTTAGATCTGATAGTTGTTCGTTCTGGTGTTTTCTCTCAGATATATTTTTTGGTTATGTTTATATTATTGCAATATGCTGTTTGGTAGATGAAATTGGCTTTTGACTGTGTATATTATGATGAGAAATACTATAGTGCTCTGTTTGGCTGGAAAGAAAACGCGAGGAAAAAATAGACTTTGATGTTAGATTTAATCAGGGTTGAAACACCAACCTGAACTTCCGTTGGTCTATTGAAAATCATTTCTTCACTATTTTTCAGAAACAAAACAGAATGTTATGCTTTGTTTGATTGTGTAAAAGTCTCTACAAGAGAAAGAAATGAAAGCTGGGATTTTAGGTCATCTCGAAGTACTGTCAAGATACAGAGATTGATTTCTTTCCTATAGTCAGCCTCAACTTAACAGGACATGCATTTTGCAGTGTAAAGTTAGATATGGGCCGTCTATATGTACAATTTGTATAAAAATATAATAACACTACTTCTTGTTTACTTTAATCACAGAGTGTTGTTTACCACATTTTCTCATATTTATTAATCTATGTTATGTTTGAGTTGTGATGTTATATATCTTGATTTGATGTTTTGCAGAAAGTTTACACTTTAGTGCACTATTTTTTTTTATTGTTGTTTTTCATTAAATTTGGAATATATTCAGTTTAATTTATACCTGCCCCTGTGTGTCATGAAAAACCAATAATTGAATTTTTAGCATCTTGTAAATTTCTGATACTTTTTTACCCTGTGTTGTGATTAATTTCTCTTTTTTTAATGGGTAAATAAGTGAAAAGATAAAAATGGAACTGTATTCTTATAGTCTGGGTGTGTCCTGTAGTAGTAAAAAAAGTGGTGTAAAAGTACAATATCTTGAATTGTGTAGTTGTTACAATAATCTTGAGTTTGGCTTAATGTTTATGACTGTTTTGTGAATTTCATGTTTGTTAATTTTTTTGTATTAAATCATTGACAAATTTCATTGAACTCCTATATTATTTTTCAACTTTTTAGCCAACTACAGAAGCATAAGTTGTCTCTCAAAATGAAACTTTTGTGTAAAATTATTGTGTAATTGTCTCTTGACTTGATTGCAAGTATTTCTAGGAGCTGAAAATGAAATGTCATTTTCAAGCATAATATGGCACTTTTTGTGATTCCTTCCAATTGTATTGCAGGTGAATGTTCCGAAGACAAAGAAGACTTACTGCAAGTCTAAGGAATGCCGGAAGCACACCCTGCACAAGGTGACACAGTACAAGAAGGGGAAGGACAGCTTGGCTGTACAAGGCAAGCGCCGTTACGATCGGAAACAGTCAGGGTATGGTGGACAAACTAAACCAGTTTTCCACAAAAAGGTAAGAATCTATATCTAGTGATTCTCTCCTTTAAACGCCAAGGCACATCAATTTATTGAGCTGTTCTGTTTCCTTGTAAACATAGTAAGTTGTAATAATATTACTACTATATATTGGGTGCGTAGATGATTTATGCTGAAGTCTTGACTGCTTTTTCTGACTAGGCAAAAACCACCAAGAAGATTGTGCTGAGGCTTCAATGCCAGGGTTGCAAACATGTATCCCAGCACCCAATCAAGGTAAGCTTTAGAACTTCCAATGGGTCCTTGTTTTGCTTTCTTGTTTTTCTTTACAGGCATGTGATTGTTGCCATTTGTGCAGCGGTGCAAGCATTTCGAGATTGGTGGAGACAAGAAGGGGAAGGGGACCTCTCTTTTCTAGATGGCAATTTGTTGTCAATTTCAGTTCTGCTCGTAATGCTACACTTTGTTTTACCTTTCGGTGAAACTTTTATCAGTTAGAACTCAAGTGTGTGTTTAATTCATCGAGTATGTAGGTTTATGCTATGTAGGTTTATGCTATTCTGGCAAGGACTATAGATGTATCCTATGTTGCTCGATCTTTTCAATTTACTTATTTAATTTGGAACGATAGTCTCTGGTTTTAATTCATCAATTTTGTCTGTTCATGCTTGCTTCTAGCAGGAATTTTTGGATGCTTATTTCAAGTTCTGGTCAGGATGCCAAATTCTGTTTAAAATGTATGCAGTTTTTTTTTTTTTTTTTTTTGGTGGGTATGCACTAAAATGGGAAATATAGATGTTGGGTTTTTGAAGGTTTTTATTATTATTAAAATAATATGCTATCATGTTGAATTGATGATTCAAATACCATTTTCTTTCAAGTGGATGTTAAAGAAGTGTGGATACAGAACTTTGTTACCTTGTCTTGTGCTGGCATAATGTGCACTTTTCCTTTTAGTACTTGAGTTGCATGTGCACATATTCTTTTAATACTTGAGTTCGAGAAACTAGATCTAGTGGAGGAGATGAGTGAATAGGATTACAAGGTTAAGAGGAAGCAGAGTTGAAGTGTATGAAATATATCCTATTATTTGTAGGCTTGTAGATGTTTTTTTTTTCTTTCGAAAGTTAGGCTTGTAGATGTTGCAAAAGAGGAAACCATTGGAATTTTTTATTTTTTTTGTTTGATGATGGTGTCACATGTTTAATTTTGGCAAGTATAAACTACTAGAATGTTGAAGCATTTTAACTAAAATGAAGGGTTTTGATTATCTTAGGAGTATTTAAACTAAAATGATGATATTTTTCAAATATACTGGAATGTATTCTGGCCATGTGAAGAAATTATTTGATCAACAAAAAAAAAAGAAAGAAAAGAATGATCAAATGAAATATGGTCTGGTTGTATGAACAATTGTCATCACCCTTCACAAAACTCAACACACCTGATTTGTCTTATGATTCTATGAAAATTTCAACCCTCAACTTCCAACAGGAGTAAATGATCCTTGGTTAACTGTTCCAGTTTACAGTTTATGCTGAGGCCCAAGAACAGGTGACGGTGAGTTGAGAATTTGTGAGGAAAGATAATAGTGACAGATTTTGTGAGGGAAGAAAACAATGACCCAAGAATTTTTGACTCATAAATTGACCATGTGCAGATTCCAGGATACTGGCCATGTCTGGTCTCTTAGTCGGATTTCATCGAACGTGATCGAACATGCAAGGTTTGAAGCGAGGAAGAGACGTGGAGGGAAGATCGGAGATTTTTTTTTTTTTGAAGGAAAGATTGAATTTGGGTTTCGTTTACTTTCCTGTTGCCCTTTGGCAACTCGGGTTAGAGCAATTGAAATCTAAAATGACTTAGTTACACAAACCTAAATTGTACGAGGTGGCATGCTCTGAGCCATTGGATCATTTACTGGAGTAAATGGCCAAGCAGTAAATTGGAGTAAATGAGGCGTTGGATCATTTGGGTGGTGAGCCGGTGTGCGCTTTGTGTAGAATCTCATGCTTACCTTTCAGACCATAATGGTAATTTGTTGGGATGCATTTATCTGTTCTTTATTATCTGAATAGCATTGGGTGTTTTTAAGGCGGTTTGTTCTAAGACCTTTATGGTACTTTGCTTAGATCTGAGCGTTTGTGAGAAAGATTATTGCTAAATTGATGGATGTTACAAATGGCTTTTTAGGTTAGGTTTTGTTACTTCATTCACGAGATGAATGTATGTCTGTGCTTATACCCTGTTTGCCCAAAGGGAGCAAGGATTAAAAACCCCATTTAGTGTAGATGTTTGTTGGCAATAGAAATTCATACTGCTATTGATCTTTAGTTTTTATTTATTTATTTTAGATTGGGCCATTATGCCGAGGAAAATGTTGGGAGTTACCTAGCAATAATCTCTCTCACAAACTCTCAGATCCATCAATTTAGCATTAGTCATTCGCGGCTTCTGTGGGATCTCAAAGATGTTGGCAGGGAAGAAGAATGGTGTGTGATTGGGGTTCCTTCATCCCCAAATTTCCCACCATTGTTGTACTGTCTAAAAAGGGCTGACAAGGTTAGTGCTTGCATTTCTGATCATTGTCTTTACAAGATGGTGTTGCCTTCTTAGATAAACAGTGTTAAGAAGTTATATATTCATTGATTTAAGAAAAATGAGTTTCATGCAAACAGCCACGTAGCCCAAAGCTATCTGGGACGGCTTCAATAATGGTTAGGGCTGCAAAAGAATCGAGCTGTTTATGAACAACTCGGGTTTGGCTTGTCCAAGGCTCAGCTTGGGCTCGTTCATTAAGCAAATGAGCTATAAGCTCGAGCTAGATTTCTAGGCTCGTTTAGTAAGCGAGCCAATCCTGAATAGTACTGAGCTCGGCTTATCTACGTTCGTGAATATGACTCGTATATATTCATGAATACAGGGCTTGTATAGGCTCACATCATAGGCTTGCATAGGTTCATGAATGTATAATGAGTCAAAACAATATTGAACACGAGCTCAATTCGAGCTTGAACAACTTTTGTTATTAAATTAGCAGAGCCCGAGCTTAGCTTTTTGGGTCAACTCGGTTCATTTTCAGCCCCTTAATGGCTAATGATTGATTATTTTACTTAGTTGCCTTGTTAGCACAGGTTTAATTGGAAGTGACCCAAGTTGTTGCTAAAGCATATATGATATACGCACAATTGTATGATGCATGTTCAACCGAAATATATTCTGTATTATAAGATATTTGTATTCATAATTCTCATACACATACCTGAATTTAAATGACAATGATTAGTTATGTAGCAAAGAAACTCTCTTTGAAAATTATGAAGCACTTCCTTATCATTCAAGCAATGATCCAATATTGCTTCAGGAAGAGAAATTATGTTAGTTGAGCATTTCTGCATAAGATACTGATTTTACACTCACTGGTTTCGCTCTTATACTTTTATTATTACTGTCTGGACTACATTGAGGGGGGCTACGACTTGCGGATGCGTTTGATCCTCTCGGCATAATGGTTGCTGAGCAACCTAGTGCAAGAATCCCAGTTGCCTGACTTGTGACCATACTTCTTTGAACATCTGAACTTGTGCAGTTTTGCACAATTTTCTCAGCACAACCTCGAAATCCATATGCGATTGGTACGCTGGTCACTGTATACAATTTTGCATTAGTCAATTCTTCTGCTTCTATTCCCCAAGGTGTTCTCCCTTCCATAATGTTTTCTATTGCAGAGACCACCTGCAGCAACGCGGAATATTATAGGCGAAAAGAGTAAAAAGAGACATTGAAAATTTTATTATGATGAATTATTATTATTATTAAGGTTTTCATTTCGTTTTTAATATTTTCTTGGAAGGCATTGAGATTGCATATAGGATGCTGCTGTTTTTCTTGGTTATGAGCCCTATATCTATTGTGTTTGATCTATGCATGTGAAGGATGTTTAATATGTAATTATAGAAGTGTGTCTGGTTCAGCCATGAACTTATTCACCTGGATGAGGCTCTCAAGAACGCACAAAACTAAATTCGAATAATTCAAAACCATGTCAAGGGATTACAGAATGGAATTCTGGAACCATAAGGCGTTGAAAGTTTGGATTGAGGGAATCAGCATAAAACAACAAATTGTACTTCGAATTGGGGGACTTTTGAAGGTGCAGGTACTTCTGGTATATGGCTAATGGAGACAAGGTTACATCTTCACACACACACACGCACTACTGTTCTCCTAGAGCCTGTGTAGTTCATTGAGCTGAAATTAGGTTCTCAAACTGTTACTTCACGTGTGGAGTTAATTTTGTGCTTATTAGTATGAGCCAATTTCACTTAAAACTTAAATTCATCTCAGTTTCATAAAAAAAATTCAGAAAGTGATTATCTTCTTAAATACATTCATTTGACTCTCTGTCTTAAGTATGTACTAGTGAGAACAGTAAAACAGTGCATCTGTGTCCTCCTTATTAAAACTTAAAATACTAATTAAGATGTGGGAAAATGTCAAAATTTTCAGGTTGTGTTTATGGTGTTGATTGTGCAGTTACTCTCAAAGAATATATCCGAGTGACCGATGCTTACCTTATACATGGATGGTCTTTTCAGGGGATCCTTGCTGAGACATTTTTCTGCTACTTGAACCATCCAAATGAACTGGTAGCAGTTATGGGAATTGACGATGCACGGGTCAATTAACTCTGCATACTTCTTTTCTTTCAGAAGTGGTCTTGCCTGTGAAAATATTATCTCAGTATGCATATAAGCAACCAGATACAGATGAGTGAGAGGTATGTAGGAGGATTCACAGTGTTAAGGGAGATTGTCATTTTAAGGATTCTTCGGTGTTGGGGACCTTGGGGTACACTGTACTAAAGTTGATTAGTAAGTGTCACACCCTTCTTGGTTGCTACATAATCGTCCACATCACGGAGTTACTGGCAATTAAGATGTCTATGATACATATCAACTCATGGATGTGCTGTTGAATTAAGACCATTTATATTTTTGACAGAAGAAGTATGAAGGATTTGAGTCTCATTGTTCTAGAGGATATTCCAGTTCTCGTCTTCAGAGGGTCTGTCCTATGATGGAAAACTGCAAAGTTGGAGTATCGTAGATTTGATGCATCAATTGACAACAAATTTGGATCATAGAGTGTGCAACACTATGTAGTATGTAGGGTTTGATTGTGCCTATGCATCTGCTTAAGAATTTGTTCAAAGAAATGAAAAGGGTAGGTGTTTTTGTTTGTTACCCATCCCAGTAGACTTTTCTCCTTGAGCCTTTTATCAGTAGTACTCCGACCAGTGATCAGCTCTAATAGGACCACACCAAAGGAGTATACATCCGCCTTGGTTGATGATTTCCCGCACTCTGCATATTCTGGTGCCAAGTATCCAAATGTCCCAATGACCTTGTCGTCTGAGGACTGGTCTGAGTCATCCTGTGTTCTTGCAACCCCGAAACCTCCAATCTAACACATTGATCATGTAATCAGAAAGTTAGTATGAAGAATGTGTAGCGTGTCATGCCACTATTTTAGCTGATTTCAAGTCTGTTACCAGTGGTTCGTAGTCATGCGTCACAAGAATGTTGTTTGGTTTCATATCTCTGTGGATAATGTTGTTCTCATGCAGATGTTTCAAACCTCTGGATGCTCCCAGTGCAATTTTCATCCTCTCTTCCCAAGTTAAAGTTCTGCAGGTACACTCTGCATATTATCAGCAAATTTATTTGAGTTTTGAAAAAAAATATCAGTTTTTGATTTCTTATAAATAAGAGTGGCCTAATTGATATATGCTCTTACTTTTTAAGTGTTGGTCCAGGGAACCATTGCACACATACTCATAGACAAGCAATCTGTGGCTTCCTTCTGAACAAGATCCCAGTAGCATGACCAAATTCTTATGTCTGGTTTTGCCGAGTGCTTGGACCTCTGACTTGAACTTCTTTTCTCCTTCCAAATTTGAATCCTTATATTCCTTAACGGCTATAGTCCACACATCTTCTAGCCGACCTCTGAACACAGCTCCATATCCTCCTTCGTAGATGACATTCTCCGGGGAAAATTCATTTGTAGCAGCTTGGAGCTCTGCATAAGTGAAGTCCCTTTTCAACCCTATCTCTGGCCGTCTATTCTTGCAGATTGTACAATTTGAAGCATCAAATATCACTTCAGGCATCAATGTTCCCATCAAATCTTCCATGTCGATGCTTAGTGTTGGTTGTTGATCTTGACTTATTCGATAAGCTTCAGTTGAACCCATCACTTGTTTATCAATACTGGTATCTAGATGTACCTGTTTTGTAGTTTCTTTGTTTGTTTTCCCACTGCTTTCCTCCATCCTGAGGCAGGCAATGCACTTTTCCTCACTTGAAGTAGAACTTGTGGATTTAGTGCTTCCGTGACCTGAAGCCAACTTTGTAGTCATCATAAAGAGGTGCTTCCTTTAATTTAAGTTCATTGAATGATTTAAAAGTTCTAAATCAAGGCAAACACAATTTAAGGCGTTTGTAACAAGCAAAGATAGTTTTCTTTTCTTTTCTTTTTAATTGTATGTGCAAAAATATCGAGAAGGGATCGATTAACAGAAAGCTGTTGCCTAGTGATTTTTATGGATAAATTGAGAAATGCTCCAACTCTACATGTTGTGGTTGATGTAGATGAGGGAGAAATTGAAAGGGATTTTGATGCTTACTCGGGAAAAGTTCTATGCTGAATAGATCTTCCTCCTCTTGGCCTCCCGATAACATTTCACCATATGTTATTGCCAAGGTACGGCTTCTTTCTGTGGGAAATTTCTTGATTCCTACAACTTTTTTCCCTCTTAATTGTTCAATGTGGTTATTTTGCTTCATCCTTGATATCCCACATGAGAGCTTCTCTAGGAAGTATTTCTTATCTTTCTTCATTTTCCTGTACCACAATGGAGATTAGAATAAAATCATTGATGCTTACCGAAATAAATAAATAAATCATAGTTCAAAATTATGTTTATAAGGTGAATTTGGTATTTATTTATCTAGAGAAGCTCTTTGTTCCATTGTATATCCAAAAATTATTATATAAAACATCTGATGGACTGACAAATTCAAATACTAAGAATATGTTATATATCAGTATTACATACTATGAATACAAGGAATGAAAATAAAGACATCAAATACAAAAGTATAACACATGAAGCCATTAATCAATACTTGCATAAGTATAGGAATGAACTGCGATTTTTTTTTTTTTTTTTTGGACAGAGTAAGCATACGTTTAGCAGAATATGCAAGTAAATATACGGTTTCTCGTAGTCATAGATTATGATATCCTTAACATAAATTAAATACGATGAAAAGAAAAAAATATGTTCATTCCTTTCATTCCTTTCCACTCTGTGTAGGTACATTTTTCATTATTTTCTTGATTCCTTCGTCTCAACTTCTACCTATACGACTTCTGGCTTCCCTATCCGGCTTTTATCTACCCTTGATCATATGTATGTTTCGTCTCAATTTTTCATTTTTCATGCTTACATTTTTGCTTTCAAGACAGAAACTAATTGATCACATTTACCAAATTATATCTATCAACTCAAGCTTCATCAGTAGCTTTTTTTTCTTTCCTTTTTTTTTTTTTTTTTTTTTGATATTCAATGAATTATGGTCGACTATAATTCATAAAAATTAAATGGATGTTGCATTTTTGATAAACTGGATCCTAAACGATTTTCTTCAATCACACTTTGTTGTACTGCAGTTGTGTCAGACAAGCATTTGATTCTGGGATTTGATAGCTTCATATACCACCTTATTTTCCATCGACCTTCCCTTCGAATTTATTGTATTATTTTGCATTTTTGTGCTTATCTAAGCAAAATTCAAGCATCAGAAAAGCTCTACATAGTGTACCATTGCACTTCTGTCTCATAACTATTTCAAGAATTCTCACCTATCAAGTATCACCCATGTTGCCCCTAATTTCATGGCTGCTTCTACAGCGAAAATCTTTGGTGAAGGACCTGCATCCACTTCGATCTTGAACCCGATCTGGGATTTCCATGCACAAAATCTTATCAGCTAATTTGCAGTATATGTCATCTTTACAACTATGTTATTGCTATATAACCCATCATTTGCTTGGAATGTTTATTTACTTGCTCACTCAAAAATCATCTTTTGCTAAATTTTTATTCCCATGGTGCATATACAGATAATTTATCTACTTGAACAGTCACACACACACACACAAACGCACATCAAGGCTATTAAATTGGTCCGACTTATGCTCTATCATATAAAGAATGCAACAACTGGATGTGCATTCTATTTGATAAAGAGTCCCTATAGAAAATTGAGTTTAGTCTCTTACAAATGTTGTGTTGATTTTTTGTATTAACTATATTGGTCAAAATTTTCATGTTATTGATAATAAATGAAAAATTGGCATGCATATACTCGTTCTCTAAATATGGAAAAAAAGAAGAGCTTTAACAAGCACAATCATATTATGTAGCAAGTTTTAAAGATTTCTTTTGAAGTAAAATTTTTATGTCATAGTTTACATGGTTTATGTCTTTAATTTTCTGGTTGCAACCATAAAAATACTAGATAAATCCAACCTCATCTTAACTCAGCTGTATTATAGACCTTTGATATTATATCAACAATTTTCAATTTTCTGATTTTTTATCACACCTTTTTCAACTCATATAGCTTCGCAATCTGAATGAGTTCCACATTGTTTTGATACTCTTTCTTCTTCCTTGCAATCTCTTCATCAACAATTCTGTGGTTGGCTCCGAAAATCGAAGCATCCACTCTGCTCTTGAATCCCACTGAAATAAAGGGTAAAAGCGAAAATAAATAATTAAATATATAAATCATCAACGAAAGAGTGCACAAATTACCAATTCCAATTCTGTGACTACATAAAGCTATCAAATAGTTCAGTGACTTCGTCATTTATATCTTCATTTATACTATATAAATGCTTCACAAGTATGAAAAGAAAAACATGAATTCTTACTCGGTTTCGCAGCTCCTATATAAGATAACGTACTAGGATTATTAACCTGGTGAAGAACTGAAAGAAGAGTGAGCCTGTCACCAGGCTTAAGGGATAAGCCGTGCAGTGCCCATCTGATGGCGTTCGAACTAACTTCTCTAGATGCATCCTGAATTACCACCACACTTTGAGCTTCCATAGACAAGCCTTGGTTGTTTGAAGCTCTCGCTTCACATATGGAAAAAACAAGAAAAACAGGTGAGACTGAAGAATGTACTCTTTAAATGGTGTTTTTGTTTTAGATTGGCAGATTTGATCTTAATTTCCTAAACTCTACTGCTAACAATCTCTGACTCTGCAGGTTGATCCTTTAATGTTAATTTCCTAGACTGTACTGCACATATAATTTTGTTCATTTCTCAGACACATTGCTCTATTAGCCCCGAGTTTATGGCACGCAAATGCAAAACTAGTGAAGAATATTTTATCAGAACAAGAAGGTGAAGAGCCGAGTACCATGAAACTACGAAAGGGTTCAAACCAAGGCCGTGTACTGGTAACCGGAGAGGACTAATGACTGAGTGATTTAGAGGACAATGTTTAACAGAATGACTTGATAATTAAGAGTGGTGGTGGATTTAGGAGCACATTTCTGAAGTTTGTTCGAGCGCATATTAGGATATGCTTTGAGGAACACTTTGGTTTTGTACTGATTCAGCTGTGAAAGAGGATTGGTTTTTCAAAACTTAGCTGGTTGTTTAGTTTGTTAATTCCAAAGATTGTCATTTTCAATCATTTGTCTTGGCTCTATTTGTTGATAAAAAGAAAAGGACATTTGAAGGGGGAGTTTCTTATGCAAATATAGTTTTATTATGAGATTCTGAATTCATGAAAGGGCCTCAAGATTGAAAACCTTGCAATATAATTTAATTTACTTCATATATATATATATATATATATATATATATATATCTATGTTTTGAGTAATATCCTTCTAATCCATGCTGTGGTTGGTTTGAGCCACTATCTACAAGAAGTTAGTTTTGTATGCTTATGGGCTCATAGTTGATCTCAATGTTCTTTTGTCCAATTCTGTCTTGTGTGCTTCTTTTAAACTTAAACACAGAGTGCTCTACCAAACATGTGTGGGCCACTCTTTACTTGTCAAAAAAGAGAACGTGGGTTCAAATTATGAGAGCTGTCATTTTGTTCAAATAATGAGTGGATTAGAATTCTGAGATCATTTTTTTTGTTCAAATAATGCCAATGATTTGAGGTCAAAACAAGAAATAATGGGCTCTTGGTTTAGTTTTAAAAGAAGAGTTTTATGTTCGAGTAATATTTGGACTGAACTCTTAAAGTGAATTGTTTGACTTACAAGTTTAGATTGGTTGTTTTTACCAAATAAGAAAATAAAAGGTCCCACTTCTTTATATTTTGCATACATAATCAATCAAAAGCTGTAGGTTAGACAATTCACTTTAAGTAATCGGCCTAAGAATCATTTTATCTAGAACAGAAATTTAGAAACTATAAAAAAAACCAACTCGATTGACCATTTTATAAAAGAAAAAAGGAAAACAAAAAAATATTTTTTTCAAAAAAAAATTAATAACATATTTTTATTTTCTGAGTTATTGAGACACATATCTTGAAAGCATAAAAGGGAAAGATAAAATATATTATGTTTTTGCTAGATTTGAGAAAACTCAATCCCAACTTATTAACTAAAGAGGAACATATCAGTATAGGCATTCCATTTAGTAACCATTGTTTTGCGAATTTGACTGAGAAAATAATTGTCAGTCAAATATATTAAACTTTTATGTATTTAAAACAAAATTTTGTATACGTAATTGGCTATATGTATGTGTAATTTCTATATGTTTCTTGAAACTGCTGCTTTAGTTTTCAAAGAAAAAGTGAGAGGTGGTCGAAGCCGGATGTATAATATGATGTGACTATGTCAATAATAGTTTGATACTGAGTCATATAGAAGCGAACGCGATAAAAATTAAATTACAAATAGTTAGAACAGAAGTGATCTGGCCCTATAATTACCAACTATAATAATAATGATGTCAATAATAATTCGATGCTAAATCACTTGAAGCGGGAGCGAGAGTGCGAAAATAACAAAAATTAATTCACAAATAGTTAAAACGGAAGCGGGAGTGTGAGAGCGGCATTCATTGAGAAAGATTATGTGACTTGGATTTGATGACATCAGTTTATACTCACATAAAATTAATCGGATTTATTTGCTCCCCATCATTACTCTTAACAATAAATTAGTTTTTTTAGTCTTCGAAAGGAAGCCTGCACCTACATATGCAATATCTTCTAAAGCTCTCTGAGATGGTAGGTCTCGAAATACTGCATGTAACCATATTGTTAATTTAAATTCAATTGACATCAGCAAAAACAGCCTAGAAAAACTTAAGAGTATGACAAAAAAATAAAATCATCCGTGTTATTTCAATTCCAATATTTTATGTTGATGGTTATGCCTTTCATATACTAAATTTAATTAATTGGATAGAGAAGCAATAATTAGTGTAAGAAAGGTCACTTAGGGGTGTTTGGTATGCATTTTGTTTTTAATATTTTTTTAGCTCGGGTGCTATAAAAGTGTTTTTGGAAAAAATGCATTAGTAAAAAATATTTTGTTTTGTGTAGTTTTGAAACGTTTTGTGAATAGTGGCGAAAAGTTGAAACACCAATTTAGTGTTTTTACATATTTTTTGCATATAGCAAGTAGTAATGGGTACTGTAGCGATGAATAGTAAAAAAAAAGAAGACATTTTAAACTAACTATTATATTTTTCAATCTTGTAACATTTTTTTACCAAACATATTTTTATGTTTTTGCTTCAAAAATCTTGCAACAAATGAAAGTTACCAAACTTGTTTCCGATTACTTTTCAAAACACTCTACAACAAAAGCGCTTAGTTTTATTTTGGGTTGAAATAAAAACCAAAAAATAAAACGCAAACCAAAATAGCTCTTAGTGTCAACTTTTTTCTTTTCTTTTCTTTTTTTTTTTTTTAAAAAAAAATGGATACAAACCTAAATATTGTATTAAGATCACTTGTGTGTGGCCTTCAAATTCTATGTAAAACCACCTCTTCAAATTCCCTTCCATTATTTAAAGCAAATTACAATAAAACCCCCTTGATTATGGGCCTTTTCTAGTAAATGTCCTATCTAATTTTTTACCAAAGAACCCCTTCCAACTATCTAAAGGGGTAAAATAGTGGATGTTTGGACCAAAATGCTCTTATTGCTGTTTTATTTTTATCATAATTCATCTGAACTTCAAAAATTCATATCTCCCAAACCGTACATCCAAAAATTACAAATAATATATACACGAAAAACTTATGAAACAAGGATTCCATAAATATAATATTTGTGCAACATGCTGTGATGTTTCCGTTTTTTGCCATTTTTCATTTTTTCGGAATTTTTGTCGTTGTAAAGGCATTTTCGTCTTTTGCCGTTTTGGGCACCGGACACGGTGGAGTGTGCTGCTTGTGTTCGAGTGATGGTTGGGGCATTTCATTGAGTTCAGAACTCTTCGAAATGCAAGGTTTGTCATCTTTATATTTTTCTGTTTTTCGGGCCGGACGGTCCCGTGTGGGACCCGTTACCGGAATTGTTGTATATGGGGATTTTGATTGGGTCCATTTGCATCATATCTATTTTATTTAATGTGTTTTAAATGATTGTGAATTAAATGTGTAGAAATATATACGTGTGTGATATAAAAAAGAAAATAAAATTAAAGGGAAAATAAATTATTTTTGAGGTGGGGCCCACTACCTCTTTAAGTGGTCATGAGACCACATTTTTGGTCTCCATTCTCTTCCTCTCCCGCTGGTCTCTCTCTCTTTCTCTCAAACTTTCTTTTTCTTTTTCTTTTTACTTTAAGGCTTTAAACCTTGCTCTCTCTCTCATTCCTTGGTATTTTTAGGAGCTGTTTACGGCAAATTGAAGATCACGGCGAGATCTACGATTTGATCGGAGCAAATTCTTGTTTGGAGCACTCTAGGGAATTTCGTGTTCTAGGGCATAAATTTGGGGCTTTTTGCTTAATTTAAGGTAGGAGTCTCTAATTCATGTTTTCTTGTACTTTTGTGAGTCAATTTCTTGTTAATAATTGCTAACATGTTTAATTGGTGTTAATTTCCCCTAAAATGATTTAATTACGGCGTACAAAGTTCATGATTATATGTCCAAGTTGATTTGTATGAAAAGTATGCCTAAGTGTTGATTTTCTATGCCTATTGTGTTGTTAAATTGCTAAAAATGATGTATGAAAGTATGTGTAATTTTCCTAGAATTTCTTGTAAAACATGCTTAATTGTGTTATATGAAAATCCCTTATTGGCATAGCATTGAAGATATGCAACACACATGCATATTATTGGGTATGAATGAAGGGAAATGATTTGAAATAAAGAAAAAGGGGATTTTCAGGAAGAAATTTGATTTAAAAGGTTTTGAGAAAAACCCGGTCGCCGCGGAGTCACCAAAGGGCCAGTGTGTTAATGTAACCTAGAGAGAATTAGGGGAAACACCCTAGTGTGGTTGAGCTATCTGGGCCCCAAATGATGCCATAGGGGTACCAAGGGTCAGGGACAGTAGCCAATCCTTCTCTCATGTCGCTACGGAGTCACCAACGAACGGGTTATATTAACAGTTTGAAAAGTGATGGATTTGGATTTTAAAAATGGGGAGCGGCATACATGGCATCGCATATCATGGCAAGACATTGTTTATTTTAAAATTGGAATTGATATTGTTTTCTCTCCCGGCATTGCATGACCCCTAACCTTTATTCCCATTCATTATTTGGATTTACAAGGCTACAAGAAGGGTGTTTTAGGCACCACCTATTGAGCAATTTGCTCACCCCATTACATTTAACATTTTTCAGGGCTGGATAGGAAGTAGTGGACGCCGACCTTTCACAAGCGTGAGGAGGACTAGAAATTCATTTTTTGCCACTTTTGTGTGTTGGGACCTATTCTTTTGTAAAGTCTCAAACTTTGGAAAGATGTAATCAATTGAAAAACCATGGCCATGTATTGTAAATAAAACACTTAATGGTAATTGAAAGGAAATTATAATTTGATCTATTATTGATGCCATCAAATTGTATAATGTTATGCTTGTTGCCATGAATTCGGAACTTCATTCCATAACAGGTCCGCTATAGGTTGATTATGTATAAAGCACAGCTAGAATGCAATTCTAGTGAGTTGAGTCCCAGGAAGCTTGTTTCGACCGGCTGACCCTCACCATCAGCTGACTGAAACCCTAGGTTCGACCGACCGAACCCCTTCCATCGGCCGACCGAGGCCATTTTGGAAAGTCCCGAGAGCATGCATTTTATGTAATCGTTTCAGCCGGCCAACCCTGTTGGTCAGCCGACCGAACCAGTTTTGTCAGCCGACCGGTCAATGGCCATTAGCTGGCTGATCCCTCCCTTTTGACCTGTATCATTTGACCCTTTCTATAAAGTTGCATCTTGAAGTATTTTGGACCCCGGATTGACCATTAGGACGGTTATGGACACAGGAAATAGATGGTATGACCTAGTTGACCTCGGGTCAGGGCAAGGACCCAGTTAACGGTTCAGACCCATGGGTTTGGGTCGTTACAAACTTGGTATCAGAGCGATGGTTCGAAAACCATTAGAACGACGGGTAGAGGCCTACTTAGAGTTGCATGGGAAGTTGTTTGTATTGTTATACGAATTATTTG